ATGTATGTATGTATGTCTTTGTATGTGTCTGTGTATGTCTACGTATATGCATATGCATATGCATATTTATAAGTATATGCATATGTATATTATATATGTATATGTATGTATATATATATATGTATATATTTATATGCATATGCATATGCATATGTATATGTATATGTATGTATATGTATGTATATGTATGTATATATGTATGTATATATGTATGTATATATGTGTATGCATATGCATATGCATATGCATATGCATATGCATATGTATGTGTATGTGTATGTGTATGTGTATGTGCGTATGTATGTATGTATGTATGTATGTATGTATGTATGCATATGTGTGTATAGGAAATATGCATGTGCATGTATGTATGCATATGTTCATTTGCATACATACATATGCATATATATATATACACACACACACACATACAAGGCTCCGCTTCCGCCCCTAAGGCTTCGGCCCAGTCTTCCGCGATGTGCAGGAACTTCGACAGCCCGGACTTCACATCCACCTGCGGTTGAGAAGCAAGCCTGTGGCACTTAAGCGGCAAAAGGGCGGCTTGCGGAGAACGTGCGCCTTCGCACGTTGACAGTGGTGCACCACTAACTCCATCAGGACCACGCAGGCCACGCCCGCCACAGCGCTCCCAAACAAAGTCGGCGTTGGCGTCGACGTGTCCATGGCGAACAAGCCCACAGCCCCTAGGCTAGGAGGAGCCGCCATAAAGCCTCCAGCTGAGCCCACACGAGCAATGCGGATCGGAGCAGTACGCCCGTGTAACGCAAGCAACTGCCCGGCCCATGCCTGGGTTCGACCACTGCTTTGGACTTAAATGAAATCACCTAGCTCTTGAATCAAGCATATCCCTGACACTACTTCAGTGTGGGTTTGCAGCATGATCTGCGGCCGTCTCTCTCCGGGAATGCTTGCGTTCAAGGCTGTAGGCTGTGTGAAGCCGGGGATCAGGTCGGTGTTCAGGACAGCTCAAAAACGCGTCGCGTCCTTCTTTAGGGTTTAGGGTTTACTGTAGGGTTTAGGGCTAGACGCAACCAAAATTTGATGTTAAGGTCGTTTGGCTGGTCTTCTATGTACCTGGCAGGGTACTAAAATGCCCTTACAGAACCGTCTAGAACTCTAGTGCAATCCTATGGAGGCCTTCCCAGAAATCGTCGAACCCTTGAATCCTATGGGCCTATGGGACCACCAATAGAGCTAACGCAGTGGTGACGTGTAGAAAGCCCTGAAGCCACCAAGACTGCGAGCTGCAATCCGTAAGACTGTACAGCTCAAGCCCCGTGAGTACCCTCGAGCTAGCATTGAAGTCTAGCAAAGCTCTACCCCGCAACCCGAACTCACATTCCTCTACATCCACGAACGAAACCCTACCCTGAAAGGATGTTAATGAAGGAACCTGCTTAAAAAACCCTGGCCCTATAACCCCAATATATGAGGATTCATATTAAGAACCCTAATAAAGACCCAGGGTTTCTTAATCAGGTTCCTACATTAGAGCTTCCGTGAGGCTTCGGGCTCTCTGCCGAAGCCTAGGCGCTGGCATAGGACTCGACGAAGGTGCGCACGGGAGCCATCCTCTCGAGCCTCAGTAAGGAGGGTTTAGGGTCTATAGGGTTCCGGGCTCAGGGTAGGACCCTAAAATGCGGGTCGCAGGGCTTTCAGGCTTTTACGGTTTTGGGCTTGAAGGTTTTGCACGGGTGCGACTGGGCCCTGATGAAGCGCGTCCAGTGTTTTAGGGGTGCGTGTAGTTTGTAGATGCCTACATTTTGCTTTTGAGGGCTTCCGTGTAAGGCGAACCCGAGGTTCTCAGGTAGTCATTGTAAGATATCCGCGTACTACATGGGTTATGAGCTGATTACAAAGAAGCGCTCATGTTCTCTCTCTCTCGCTGCCTCTGCATCCAGACGGTCCCATGGTCAGTCTAAACTCCAAGCACTTTTTCAACAAGAGCATCTGAGTGGTATCTGAGTTAGCTGCCGTGCATTAAACAAGCAGTGATGTCCCGGGCGACATACTGTTCAAGAGGCGTCTATCGTCGGTCCTCGTATTGTTCTTTCTGAAATACGAACTTGCTGCCCGGACGCTGCTGTGTAAGGTTTATGTGGGGCAGCACATACCTCCTCGTAGTGCGCTCGATTCCCCGGCGAAGGCCACAGAGTCTGAAGCTGTTGATTTTGCGATGTTGAAGCTCTAGGTAGAGGTGGAAGGGTAGGGGCTTCTTGGGTTTAGGATTCTGTGTCCAGAGTTTAGGATATCTAAGGTTCCAACTATGCTCAAGACATCAAGACTCTCGATCAATCAAGCTCATTTCCTTGCCGTGGCTCGCTTCCACGTAGGTCTTGACAGCATTCTTGGCGATGTTCCGCAAAGTATCCTGCGAGGCGTAGCCCTGGGCCTTGGGCTCAATCTTTCACAACGTTATTGGGCAGTTCTTAGAAGAGCTGCGAGCTGTCTAGTCTGCATAAGGGCTGTTTGTTAAAAAAGATCTACCACACTCGCTCAAACCCGTAGAGCGTTCCCGCTCTCTCCCTCTCTCTCTCTCTCTCTCTCTCTCTCTCTCTCTCTAAAAACCCCCAAGCCTACCTCCCAAAACAACCTACTAAGCCGACTGGCGATGGCCCTAAACCCTAAACCCTATAAACCGTATAACCCCTAAACCCTAAACCTTAAACCCTAAACCCTATACAGCCTATAAACCCTATAAACCCTATAAACCCTAAACCCTAAACCCCTAAACCCGGCCTGCATGATCAGTCGAGCAAGGAGCAGAAATCGTCGGAGCTTTCCCTGGCGGTAGAGGTCCTCCAAAGAGCGCTTTGGGTTTAGGGTTTAGGGGTTTAAGGGTTAAGGGGTTAGGGTTTAGGGTTTACGGTTTATGGTTTAGGGCCGTCTTTTCAGCTGTATTTAAGGCTACAGAACCAAAATTATAGAGGGCTTGCTTTATGCAGAAAAGCTTCTTCAGGGACTTTCGGGTGGAGGGTCGGCGGTTAAAGGCAGTTAGGGTTGGGGGTTAAGGGCCTGGGTGGTGGACGTTTCAATCCTTCTGGCAGTCGTCGTAAATACAAAAGTCTGTGCGGCGAACATTTCCGAAACCCTAAACCCTTTTCCCTAAACCCTAAACCGTACTCAAGGTCTTGCATCGGTTTCAGGGCTTCCATGTATCAACTCCCAAGATGGCCACCCTACCCAACCTAGACCCGAAGAAACCTTAGTTGTTGGGGCTCCTTAAATAAATAAATAAATATATATACATATATATATATACATATGTGTATATATATAGATACATCCATATTCATATGTATGTACATATAGAAGAGAGAGAGAGAGAGAGGGAGAAAGAGATCTAAGTCCTTTCGTCTTGCATCATAAAATCTGTCAACAGTTCCTCGTGGTGAAGAGCAAACCTAAGCCGTGAAGAAGGCCCATCTTTTCAACCCGGCTCGGTCCACGCTTTTCTCGTGCACGTTGAACCATCCCTTCTGGATGGATTCGAACTCCCGGATCACCTTAAGGCTGCTGTAACTGGGAAGTTCTCTCCAACTGGGGTTCCCTTTTCAGGTCCCAAAAAAATGGTACGGCGCGCCACAAAAAGGACCCTAACTTAGAGAAAAGTCCGCGTGCTTGCTGAGAGTTGGGGGGATTCAGCGTTCGGGGTTTTGGAATTGAGGCGTTAGGGCCTTTGGGGACGTGGGGGCTTTGAATCGGACGGGTTGCAGGCCTGTAATAGGACTCTTTGATATGTCTCTCCAGGTCGGGTTGACGAGTTTAGGAAGATAGCTTCTTAATCGCTAAAGCCACATCTCGAGAAGGATGAGAAACCCCAAAAGACTCTGCTATGCAGGGTTGGCATCTGGCAGCTTTTTGAGAAGCCCTTGTGTCTGCACAAGTTCAGTTCCGTACCTACGAACTCCAGGCCATCTACTTCAATACACGAGCTAGAACAAGGCTTTGGTCATGTTGTGGTTGAACTATGTAGAGACAAGGATGGGACATTCAGGTCAACGGCTCTGCTGGCTTGATGGAATGGCGGGCACAACAGGTTGCTGGCTGGACAATGGTCAGGAAGCAGCTAAGGGTCAATGCCCTAAACCCTAAACCCTAAATCCTAAACCCTACAATGGAAACACGATGGCAGAGAGGAAACCGCTTTCTATGCAAGGCTAGGGCTAGGGCTAGGCGATGCACTAGGGGTTTGGGATTAGGTGGCAAAGGTTGCTGCCTGCCAAGATTCCTCCCACAATGCTTAACCATGTAAAGGTTCTTTTGACAACCCGGACCCTTTTTTTGAGCAGGGACTGCAATGCACTAAGCCCTGAATCCCTTCAGCCAAGCTCCAAAAACCGCAAATCCCGACGCCCTGAACCTTGAACTCCGATCCCTGGACATTTTAACATCGAAAGGCACCCAGACGGTGACGCCTCGCCCTGAACGCTGCAACGCCGGAAATCCTAAAGCCTTTACCCAGTCTGCGCATGCAGACCGAAGCCAATTTAAAGTCTAGGAAATCAAAGGGTCCGACAGAAAAGAGTTCAAAAGGTGTTAAGCCAATCAAGCAGCATCAATCGTAATGATAATCATAGGTGAATCATAAGCTCTTAAGAACCATAATAAGACTGATGAGAAGAATAACACCATGTAGTGGTGTGTTGTCTGAGGGTTTCACGGAATTTACCGAGGCTGGCACTGTCGTCTGCAAAGCCGCTGGCCATGCTTCCTGCTCTCACCGGCATAGGTGGAACCAGCAGCTGCTACGGCTCTCACAACTCGGACATGCCAAGCGAGGGGTGTTAGGGTTTCAGCACTCACAGCTGTAACTGGGACAAGCGGCGTTAGGCTTTAGGCCTCGGGGCTTCCACGGTTTGATTTTCGGAGTTAAGATTTAGCCTGGTTCCACGACCAGGGCCCTCCACGTCCAAGCCTTTTTTGCCGTGCATGTTCCTGCCTTCTAGAAGCGAATCCATGCGTAATTCCCTCCCTCCCACCCTTCCGAAAGCTGGGAAAGCTCTACAGACCCCCTAAACCTGAACCCTGACCCCTGGATGTCCGAAATTCCCCTGAGGCCTTCAGAATCGCATCATACTTCAGCCTTCAGATTCTTATGCTTGACCTTTACGGCATAACATGACCGCGCCTGCTTTTCTCCAAGCAGTCGACCCTTAACACTTAACACCCTTGCTGAAGTTGAGACACAGCGATCTCAGCCCTTCGAAGCTTCGGAAACCCTGCTGCATCCGAAACAAATGTCAGCAGTGCAAACCTTAGTAACGATGCTCTTCAACTGCTTTTCTGTTTTTTCCTACATGAAGGCCCTCAGTTTTCCGACGGCTTCAGACCGCGGACAGTGAATCTAAAGTTTCTTCTGGCCATTTATTGGCGCGAGCATGGAGTTCAGACCACCAAACGCCACCTCTTCTGCCGAGTCTTGGGGCCGATTGCGCATCCAGGCTTCCCAGGGGCCCAGAATCGAGTTGGATCCTTCGGTCTTCGTTCTTTTCCTTACCGACACTTCGCCAAGGGATGACGCGCGGCCGGCGTGGGCACTTCGCATCCGGAGTCCACGGCGGTGACGTCGCAGCGACTTTTCTCTTGTGCAGAGGAACATTTGGGCGTAGTTCGTGCCATTGCCTGCCTATGCCTGCCTCGTCTCTCTGAGCGGCGGCCACCTTTTTCGGGGTGTAAAGTTCGTTTGGTAGGACCCCAAGCTC